TAAACCAACTACAGCTACTACACCAACTACAGCAACTACAGCAACTACAGTAACTACAGCAACTACAGTAACTACATCAACTACAGCAACTACAGCAACTACATTAACTACAGCAACTACAGCAACTACACTAACTACACCTACTACAGCTACTACACCAACTACACCAACTACACCAACTACAGCAACTACAGTAACTACATCAACTACAGCAACTACACCAACTACATTAACTACACCAACTACAGCAACTACAGCAACTACAGCAACTACACTAACTACACCTACTACAGCTACTACACCAACTACACCAACTACACTAACTACACCAACTACAGCTACTACACCAACTACAGCAACTACAGTAACTACAGCAACTACAGCAACTACACCAACTACATTAACTACACCAACTACAGCAGCTACAGCAACTACAACAACTACACCAACTACAGCAACTGCACCAACTACACTAACTACACCTACTACAGCTACTACACCAACTACACTAACTACACCAACTACAGCTACTACACCAACTACAGCTACTACACCAACTACAGCAACTACAGTAACTACATCAACTACACCAACTACACCAACTACATTAACTACAGCAACTACACCAGCTACAGCTACTACACCAACTACAGCTACTACACCAACTACACTAACTACACCAACTACAGCTACTACAGCAACTACACTAACTTCAACAACTACAGTAACTACAGCAATTACATCAACATTCTCATAGTGGGCTTAGTGGTCACTTAATGTCTCTATATTCGTGAGGGTTATCATGAACCCATTACCCAATTTTGCGCGATAATGTATGTTTCCCTAAGATCAAAACAAAGACCTGCATCTAAATTATAAAAGCATCTAAATTATAAAATCACTAGCGACGGACAAGTCTAATTGTCAGTGATTTGAAACAGTCTTGGTCTTTATCTTCGGTCTAGCGTCTTTTGTAGCTCGTTTGTAAAATACAACTTCGATTTATTTTGTTGAATAAGACAATATGTTGTTGTTGAATTTTTGTTTGCGCTCTATTTTATGAATGGCATGCGTTTTTACTTCAAAACTACAAGTAAAATTGTCGTCACAATTTTATTCTTGATCTAGCATAACCAGAGAAGAAACGTTCCGTAAATTCTATCGAAATATCCCTTATCTAAACCCATTTCGCTTGTTAACCTCTCTAAATTCGGAGCCTTGGACGTGACGGAGAACAGGGAGAAAGTTACGCGATAAAAACAATAGAATTTTGACAGTTGAATGTAATTTGCATAACCTCTGAGCGCACATGGAGAAAGTCACGCGTTAAAAACAATAGAATTTTGACAGTTGAAAGTAATTTGCATAACCTCAGAGCGCATGCTCTCCACCTGACATAGCCTTCTTAATGCAACCTCGTTCCTAGGGTCTTCTCGCTTTCCAATATGGCGGCGGCAGGAGAGAAGACCCGGGCACACAGCGAACTAAAACGATCGCTGATTGGTGCATTCCATTGCGCGTTTATACTTGCGCTCTCATTAGTTTATTCATTCCAAAACAAAGATGGTTACCCTTTGAGGGCTTCGTAGAGGCTGAGAAGTGCTTTCTTCAGTGTTTGAGACCTAAAAGGTGGACAGAATTCAGGTCTGATTGTTCGGAAACCTGTGACTGTACCGTTGGAAGGCAAAGATTCGAAGATAGTAATATCTGAAATGGTAATCGCTGGGAATATTATAAGGCGTAGAGGTATTTCTGTTGCTCGTGCTATTTGGTTTGTGTGTTCTAAATTACTGAAGATTTGTTTCTTTAATTCCCGATATGTGAAAGAATACTTGCAAGGCTTCAGCTTATCAATAAATTTAGCTGTCCGTTTGCAAAGGTTTAGTATTGTTTTGCCTTTTGTTTTCTTTGAACAATAGCTGTATGCATAATATTATTAATGTATGGGGTTATACGGAAATCTTGCATAATCTGTGCATAATCTGTCATTTTTTTTGTTCATTTGATCGTCGCATGCATGGACCTAACCTGGCCTTCTTTTAATTTTTTCCACTGTGATTTTGAAGGGGGATGAGGAGCGAGAAATGCAGATGTCGAAACAAAACTAAAAATTGAAGCCAAACATAGCGTCGCCATCCTTTGACATTTTTAATCCTGACTTTTCATTTATTCAGTTTTTAGTGTCACAATAATGATAACTTATTATTATATGCTCATTTCTTTGACAGTAAAATACAGCTAAATTCAGAGACACTGGGAAAATAAACTGTTTCCTTTTCTCAGAAATGAAAAACTTGCATATCAATGTATGAAGCTTGTGGGATTTCTTTCTAGTTGCAAAAATAAAATAATGAAAGCACATGATGTCTTTTATTTTATCAAGTTGAAAACGGAGATCAGCCCATGCAAGGAAATCTGACAGTCTTGGATTCTCAATTCTGCACCATGGATACTGCATTCTGGATTCTTTGTCAGTGGAACTTGGATTCCGGATTCCAATTATAAGTGTGATCTAGAGTACTTGACCTTTATTCCAGATTCCAAGAGAAAAATTTCCGAGATTCCGGATTCCCTTACATGTGGTGACAGTGATCCTAAGATAAATACGTTTTCTGTCAAACCAAGGCCTGTTAATTGAGCTTCTAATTACTCTAGGCTAAGTGTACATGTTGTTCTTGTCACTATATGCTTGAAAAGGGGGTTTGTGGACCGGGTGAAATAGTGGCAGGGGTTGTAGTATTCCAAAACCAGCTGTGTATGATTATGAAGCAGCTATAATTCAGTTCTAAAACTTGGATTTAAAAAAATAAACTGCTTGAAAGGGTGCGTATATCACTATCCACTGAATAAACAAGAGCGGAAGGGGCCTGCAGCATCTTGAACATGGGATTTTTCATGTAGGGATGCCAACGCTTTTGAAGTGTTTTGCGCTAGAGTCCCCATTAGCATTGTGAGCTTTTAGCTACCTAGTCACGGCCAATGAGTTTCGGGTCATGTGGTCCCAAGTGAAACAGTGGGCGCTTTCCATTTAGGAAAAAAACCCGGAAATTTCGGTGGCAGCAAAAGTGGAATTTCCGATTGGTAAAAAGTTGTTCCATTCGGTCGTAAACACCGGTACGTCGCGATGCCCGACCGTGGACCTGGAACTGGTACAAACTACGAGAAAGGTAAATGGAACACGACATTCCGTTCGGAAATTCCAACCGGGAAAACGGGCTCACCTTTTTAGATTTTCCACTTTTTCTGGGAATTTTCCAGTGGGACGAGCCGACGAAACGTGTTCCATTTACCACCGAACCAGAAATTCCGGAAATTTTGACTAAATGGAAAGCGCCCAGTGAAACAGTTTTCCTCCAGTTTGCCTAAGATACGTCGCCAAAATGAATTGACCAAGAGGGCCTGGGAAAATGCCACACAGGGACAAGGCAAGGCTTTTATCTTGTTTAGGTGTTGGGCTGTGAGGTTGCAGTTGTTAGATGTGCTGGCTTAAATACTTCCAAAGTCTACTTTAAGGTGTTGGTTAGTCTTAGTCATAGTGTCTGTATTATAATCATATACCGGTATATATCATCAGAACTAATCAGATTGACCCGACTGATAATCGATTATAGTAGATTATAGTTTTGTGACCCCTGTGTACCACTTTCAACACTGAATATAATTTTGTAAGTGAACAAAACTTACCCTGCAAGCAGATGCTTATCTGTCACATAGTTAAACTAACTAAACATCGTATAAACCACATTAAGAACCCATCAAAAAGACAACACAGGTGTATTAATGTCCTTATTTGTCAACAATGCTTTTGTGAATTTTTCACAACAATCAATTGAACATTTGTATAAGCAATACTTACTTAGCTTTAGGTTTCTGATCAATGATAGATTATGAGCGATAATCAGCACACCACTACCAAGTCATGTCTCAGTTAGAGTACGAAATGGCCCATCTGATGAGCAAAGCATGTTTGACTTAAAGGATCTATTATCTCCAAATGAGATAGGAACTTTTACAGTGCACATGACTCAGATAGGACAATCAAATTTTTGAACGACTGGAGTCTAGCCTTTAGTCAATTTGCATGTTGCAATGGCAAAGTGCGGTCCCAAGTAATATGTAAAATAAACCAAAGTCAGGGATTAAGAAAGTTTTTGCTCTAAAAATCAAATCTACTTCAAAGTGGAGAATACATTTTGGATTGCTATATTACAAACAATGGAAACACTCTTCACCTTTTGCTAGCTATTGAAGCGGGGTTAATGCTTTTTTTTACATCTGAGAGGCAAAAAAAACAATACCAACAACATCTTAAATCCTCTATTAAGGCCCCCTCTCTCAAATAAGCCCTCCTTTTCAGTGGATGAAAGTTTTAACAATACGCCCCCCTCTCTTTTAACCCCCATCCCACCTCCCCCCTATTCTTATTCTTCACTAATAAATAAGAGACTATCAATCAATGACAAATGTAAAACTTTGTGTGGACCGATCCAGGATGGTTTATTTAGCAGCTGGAAGTTTGGCTTTCTTTTTGATCCTCACCTGCTTGACCTCCAACCTTCTTGTACTTCGGCTTTTCCCCTTGGCTTTTTTTTGTTTTTGTGGGGAACTAATACCAGCGTCTTTGCTAGATTAAATAAGGCCCCTATCTCTATTGCCCGGAAGCATTGTGAACAGGGTTAGATATCAAAAGCCAATAAGAAAGTCTAAAAAATGTGAAGTAGATGAAGAATGACAATAATAGGCCTTATCACGGTTTTGACAAGTAGGCAACCGCGTGAGAAATTACAGTGTTTGTATGAGAATCTAATGTCCAAAAATTTCCGTAAAACGGCTGTTCTGAAAAAAATATGAATTGTTAACTAAATTTTCTCTGCTAACGATTCTTCTGAAAAAATTTGAGGTCGTTACATGCAGCTATATGCATTAGAACCACTTTTTAAAATTTTCTATACATTTGCCTGTAAACGTTTCCCGGGAAAAAATTGCAGACAAATATATGGAAAATCTGAAGCAAGCGTCTGGAGAAATTTAAGCACAGTAACGGCCTCCAAAATTTGATTGTAAAATCCTTTGCCGTGTAGCTTTAGTTTACAGTTCATATTTTTTTCAGAATAGCCGTTTTACGGAAATTATTCCACATTAGATTCTCATACAAACACTGTAATTTCTTATGCGGTTGCCTACTCGTCAAGATGGCGTCGAAAACCGTGATAAGACCTATTTTATTACCTGTACCAGATCAAGTGACAAAATATCCAAACTGAACAAGGAACTGTTTAATTTTCAACCAAAGTTTCCTCAAATTATATTAACAAAATAGTGTTCTCTGGTTCTTGTTTTCGGAAAAAATATTGTTTTTTTACATATCAGAGTTCAGTTAAAATGTGTGCAGATAGAAAAACAATAGTCAAAAGCCTCACGAAGATCTGTAACAAAACTGACGATAACTTATCAGCTTAAAGTGTCTGCGACTCAATTTAATGCTTTGTTGAATTTCGGAGCGGAAGAGGTTTTAGGGCGTCATGACAAAAAAATTTGGTGGCTTCAGAGGTCTGTTCTCGAAATTCCTAAGATGAAATAAATTGCGCTCACGGTTAGAAAAAGCCCACCTTTCACGAAAGAAGAAAACTGAACCTCCGGCACTCAGGGTAGGCAAAAAAAGAAAACCGTGAAAAAAGGCCGGTATCGAGAAATGTACGCTAGAACGTTCAGGCTTAAAAGAAATGAAGGTCATTGAACAGAAAATAAGATCGCTATATCATTCTACCGTATTCCTGTGGCTTGTAAGAACATTCTTTCATATTTTTAGCTTCTTGCGATTGCTGTTGCCACCATTTTGTTTGTTTTTCACCAGTCTTAAGACCTCTTACCCAGATCCTCTCACTCTTTATCTTGGCCGCCATTTTGAATAAATTTCCACTCTCCGTGGACAAATCAGTCACGTGATTTCTGCTGTGTGCCAGGCTCTTCTCTCCTGCCGCCGCCATATTGGAAAGCGATAAGACCCTGGGGACGAGGTTGCGTATTGATGTTTTGGATGCCTCATTCCTCCAATATTTGAGCTTATAGAGAATTTTCTGTCATCAATAACAACTTTAAATGGGTGAATAATCGAATAGGGGGATGAAGAGGAATAATCCCGGTGTTTATTATTATTATCCCAGCTGGAAAATTTTCCGTTATTCCATTATTCCAGTAAAAAAGAACTCATTATTCCGTCGAAAAAACCTACTTATTCAATTATTCCGCCCCACAAAATGGCGTTATTTCCATTTTTCTTACTCCATTAGTTCTCTTCACCCCCAAAATCGAGCCAGCTACAGTAAGTCTTTTAGAATCAGAATCATCAGTTTTTTTTTTCGTACTCTGCTACAGGTTGGTGATCCAAACGAAGACGGTGTTAGTGGACTCACATTAACAGGACCTGAGCATGAGTTAGTTGTTGATACTACTTCACCTCCAGAGCAGATCAAGGATCGAGCTGTAAATTTAATAAAGTATATGAATGGTGAAGATGTTAAGCCTGAAGAATCTGTTGTCAGTATTGAACTGTGGGATTTTGCTGGACAACACCTGTATTATGCATCCCATCCTGTATTCTTATCATCACGTTCGCTGTACATCTTGGTGTGCAACCTCAGCAAGTCACTGCATGACACAGCCAAGCCCTGTGTGAGGCAAGGGTCTCGTAATGTTGATTTGAAAAACCCAAATGGCGAAACAAATCTTGAGAACTTGTTGTCTTGGCTGTCCACAGTGCATAGCGTCGCACAGATGAGAAGAGGAACCTGTGATGATGTAGAAAAAGAGGTGCCTCATTTGCGCCCCCCAGTGATCATTGTAGGAACCCATGCAGACAAACCATTTGAAGACATTGCAACAATGAAAACAGAAATCCAGAACGCAATTGCTGGTAAGGACTATGAAGGACATGTGGTGCGGCCTATCTTCAGCATTGACAACACTGCAAAATTAACTCAAAGAAAGATCAAGACAATGTTTTTCGGGAAAGACGAAAACATTGAGGAGATCGAAGCTCTACAAGTCAAAATCATGGAAGTGCTAAGACAGGAGCCTTACATTGGGGAGAGGATACCTGTGAGGTAAATAATGGTTATACAAGAACAGAATCCATTAAAGTAAATTTTAAATAATTTCCATGTCAAAAGTTGAGCTGTGAACGCACTGAAATTACTGTTTATGTGTATGGCTTTTGTTTCCGCCAGTCCTTATAAGATTTTACTTTGATATGCAATGTGTTTCAGGTGTCATTAGTAACTCATTGACTGTGACGCTATATAAAAGCGTGAAAGAAATGAATACCTCGTTGATTGAAACAAGTTAACCTTGAAAAGTAGTTTCTGGCCTTAAGGAATGTTATGTCCTGAAGAGTTTCACAAACTTATTTCGAGTTGGTCCAAAAGCACTGTGTACATTTCATGTTCGTTTTAAAAAGGTAAAGTAATCAATCTGTAGTAAACTGCATAACTCCACAGGGTCACCATTAAGAACACGATCAGCTGTATTAGTTAAGCTTATTTAAGCTTATATTTATTTCATTTCAACTTTAGAAAGACCATCAATGCTAACTAATAAAAAATCTTCACGGCTTTTCACATGTCAGCAGTCATGTTTTGGAACGTGTGTATGCTTCTGGCCCCGGTTGTTCAAACGATGAATCACTATTAAGCTGGAAAATATCAGTAAACCTAATGGCACTTTCCACTGATTTTGGACAGATATTTATCCAGTGAAGAGATTTATCCACCTTTCGCACAACTGGGCCCTGTACTTTAGTCAGTACAGGTATACTGTGTATATGTGACGTGGATACTTAAAGGCGTGCTATCAATTTTCTCTTTGCTTTTGTAAACTAGGTGGCTGAACTTTGAGAAAGTCATCAACGCTTTGCTTTCCAAGCTAGTTTATTACCTGAGTATAACGAAACTACGGACCCATGCCAAAGAGAAGTGCTTCATCGATGATAAGAAAGAGTTTACCACCATGGTGAATTTCTATCATGACCTGGGGATCATTATCAAGCACCGTAGCACAGTCATCTTGAGTACCCAGTGGCTGATAAACTTGTTCGGGCAGCTGATCACTATTCCAGATTTTACGAAAATGGTAAGAAATGAATTTTAAAGGTGTTTTAAAACTTGCAAGGTTTATAATGGTCCACATTTTGGCTGACATCACAGGTTTCCAACCGTGCTGTAGCTAATAAAAATAACTATATCAAGTGCATTGCCCGCTATCTTTTTGAAAATGTTAACTGTTCCTCAAATATTTGTAAACTGCAAAATCGTAGTGGATTGGGCTGCTGTTTAATATTTTCCCAGTGTAAACCAGTTAGGGTAGGCGATGTAATTCTGAAATCAAATCTTATAACAAACCTATAACAACTGAATTAGTACTAACGCCTGGTCAGCAGTCGTCCCTGTAATCAACCCGCTATACTGACGTCACTATGAGTGAACATTACAATGAAACATTTCACTGCACTTTCTTATTTGAACGTTGTAATATCCCAAGAGGATTCTTGTTTCAATTTATAAGGACTTCAGGTGACACCACGAGGCACCCGCTAAAAATAAGAGGAGCTTATAACCAATTTACCTGCAATTTACCTTTTATGTAGGCTCAAAGGAATCGGACAACCAAACAGGGTGAAAATACATATTGTATATAGAAAGGAAACCTGACTTCTCACTGATGCACGCGATAAGCGAATTGCGAAAAATTTATAACACTGCTCAACCTACACAAAAAAACGAAGAAGTTTAGCTTGTACCAAGCAGTATTGTCTCCTACGCTGACTTCCTTTTGGCTCGTTACGCAACCCTCTCCAACTAGATTACAAGTAGTCTCTTCCTCAGGGACAGTGGAGCGAGCGAATTAGGCGAGCGCGCGTGAAATTTGTCACCCTCGAGGAAGGTGACAAACGCTCCTGTATTTTAATCGCTCAAATATCCCAGGGGAAAATAAGGGGCCACTCTTAGTCTACCCCCAGTAGTATATTAGGCATAGAATCACCCTTTTTTGCGGTGGAATCTTCGCTGGAATACATAAACACTGATGACACCATAACCCTTTTGTCTTTATCTCATGAATAAAATGCGGTTGAATCTCTTTAAAGACCGGTTTACATGGAGGTGTGGGGGACCCCAGGTAGGTGAGGTAACCCGCTGCTGGTCACCCAACCTACCATGTGTACGTGATCAAATTAAAATGAGACATTATGTGGACAGGCGGGTTACCCCACCTAAGCGGGTTACCTCACCTGCCTGGGGTCCCCCACTTCCATGTAAACAGCCCCTAAGATAAGGTCGTGTGTTATTTTTAACTCGTTGGACAGGTTTTCCAGTTATTTCTTGGTAGATGAAGGTTTTACTTTTTGTTGGTTGCCTACATGCAAGAACCAGCTAGGGAAAGTATTCATTGGTTGATTCAGGTGGTCGAGGGAATAAGCGCTAACTGGCCTTGACTTAAAACTCACTAATTCGTGACGTAGTTATGCAAGTTACATTTCATACCGCTTTCATTCTTAAACAAGTTGTTGAGGTTTATTGATTCCTGGTGCGCAAGTCGTGAATATTTTCTACCACTTAAAACCTATTTTTTCACTTTCCCGCATCTCTTTTTTTCTTTTCCACACTTCTGTTGTTTCCATCCACCATAACAACTACATTTCCATTGTTTTCCCTTAGCCCGCGTTGTAAAGAAAAGAAAACTTGACTTCGTAAATCTTCCCACAGGATTGAAAAGGATTGTCTGACGAATCAAACGGAGGAATGCTTAGAAGGCTATGCTCTTTACTTTTATTCACACAGTAGTACTTTCTGGGCTGGCTACGTAACTTTCATTTTGTATGCATCCACACACAAAAACTCTAGATCTTTTTCTTTTTTTGTTTAATTAAAATATTAAATGAAATAACCAACAATTTCCAATAAAACAATTAACTAGTTTAAAATGCTCCTACAATAAAACTATTTTAAAAACTTTTTGTTATTGTCCCTCGCCTTATTCCGTCTTAGGTTCCTAAGGTTGCCAAGCACTGGAAGGAAGTTAAAGAAAGCGGTGTTCTCTCCATGGAACTGGTTGATCTTGTGTTTTCCAACTTTCTCCTGAAGGGTGTTGCCAGGAAAAACATTCTGGATTTGATGGAACAATTTGGATTGATTGCAAAATTTTCATCTTCAAAGACAGGGGAAAAATACTTTGTTCCATCTCAACTCAAAACGCCGCCTGATTCTCTTTGTTCCATGGCGTCCACAACCCTCGACCCTTGTCCCTTATTTGTTTACTTCGTCAGCGGTTCTGTTCCCTTTGGTTTGTTCACTCGGCTTGTTTCTCGGTCTATCCGTTGGTGTTCTGAGGTTGGTCCAACTCAGCCCCCTACCCTGTATCAAAATGGAGCGTGGTTTGTTATTGGGAAGCAAATTGTCCATGATTTCGTTCTTATTTGTAAGAAGCAGTTCATTAAGTTCTTTATCAAGCAAAGAAACCAACCGATCTCTGTAGACGGCACACGTGAGGTGGCAGTGCAGGTTCGTGAGTTTGTGGAGGCAACTTTGCAAGCTTTGTCACGTGATCTCTATAAAGGTGGATTGCAGTATCATATTCGGGTCGCCTGTCCGTATTGTCAGCGGGAGGAATGCTCAAGCCATAATCAGATTGCATGTTCCCATGAAGATTGTCTTCACCTCCTTGAGTTACGACAAGGCGATCCTCTGATTTGCAAGAAGAAACCTGCAGAGGAGGTACTCACGGTTACGGGACAAGAACAGTGGTTCTCACAAATAGAAAGTAAGGTAGGTAGTAGTGAAATGCGATCTCTAGCAGTGCTGTTAGCATAGTACGTGTCAATCGAGTCCACATACTACTAAAAATTATGTCCTTAACAGAGTAGCAATCTATTTAAACTAAAAAGGTTTCAACAAAGTCTATGCATGTGCTTTGCTAGGTTATAGTATGATGTACAACGTATGCCTTCATTTATCCTACCACGGGCTTCTCTGCAGTGTAAGAGAAGGCTTTGTTGAACATTGGTACTTAATGTCAAGTAAGTTGATAAGGTCTATTGGCTACCATGTGTTACTATTTGTTATGGACTTGTAGGCATAGCAGTGGGCATATAACTTTTTCTCAAGTCTTTTTTAATGTGCTGTTTTGCTTTGCGGTTGAGCAATTAGCTTATAGCATCTAACCTCTTGTTAACATGTTTTGCAAACTTTCGTTTAAAAAGGTAGAAACACCCAGATGTAAAAATTTATATTTTTAAATAGTGTGCAATTTTGGTTGCTATGGAGGAAGCGTGTACTCCAATATCATCATCAGATACTGCACACGCTCGTCCAGAGTGTCTGGTACTGAAAGTTACTCTCCTGGCGAACGAGTGGGGGTCATCTAAGGGTGGCTTGTCAACAATAAACAGAACTCTTGCCATACATTTGGCAAAAGACCCACACGTAGAAGTCACCATACTTGTACCTGAATTTGAGTGTGGCGAAGAGGATAAGAGAGCTGCCAAAAGTCACAACATTTCCATCCGGGAAGCAGGGCGCCTTCCTGCCTTCAGTGATCCTCTTGACTGGTTGAGTTTTCCACCAGATGACCTTGACATCCAGGTTGTGATCGGCCATGGAGCTAAGCTTGGCAGACAAGCGCAAATTATCAGAAAGTCTCATTGCTGCAAGTGGGTGCAGGTTGTTCACACTGAGCCTGAAGAGCTTGCGATGCATAAGAACTATCCAAGCGCCATTGCCAAGGGAGAAGGGAAGAACAGAGCTGAAGTTGACCTTTGTCAAATTGCAGATCTCGTTGTAGCCGTTGGACCCAAGTTAAAAGAAGCGATCGCGTGCAAGTTGCGTTCATCTCATCGAGACATCTTTCAATTAATACCAGGTTCCTTTGCAGACTTTTCATATATTGAACACGCTGCACAAGATGATGTAAATTTCAGAGTATTGACCTTTGGTCGCGGTGATTTGGAAGACTTTACTCTTAAAGGATACGACATTGCCGCTCAATCCATAGTTGAATTGAAGGACAGTACTTACAGTCTTGTTTTCGTTGGTGCTTCCGATGGAAAGCAGGATGAAGTCGCAGAAATCTTACTCCAAACGGGCATTTCAAAGAACCAGCTGATTGTCAGATCATTTGTGAAAGACAAAAAAAGATTGAGAGAGTTGTTTTGTGAAGTTGATCTGGCCATCATGCCATCAAGAACTGAGGGGTTTGGTTTGACAGCATTGGAGGCCATGTCAGCTGGTCTTCCCATTCTAGTTAGTGGAAACTCTGGATTTGGAAAAGCACTGGGTGGTCTTCCAATGGGTGAGTCATTTGTGATCGACTCTGATGACCCCAAGGAATGGGCAAAGGCAATTGCAGCCATCCGTCAAAAATCAAGGACACAGCGGCTTGAGGAAATCCAAAGACTGCGAAGAAGTTATGATGAAAGATTCAGTTGGGAGGGACAGTGCCAAGCCCTTGTTAACAGGATGTGGAAGATGGTCTATGGTAAGAAATCAAATTTACCGATAGAAAAGTGACAATAATAATAACAATTAGTACTTGAAAATGTTAAAATGCATATCTTAACAGAATTATTCTTCATTTGACCTTCATCTTTCATCGCTGTATGTCCATGGCTTCTGCAATTGCGGGTGTATAAATACATTTTTACTACATTATGTTTCGTGGTCTGTGTGCAGCGCTGTAGAAATATTGTCGTTAACCTTTTTAACCTTAATTTTAGCATTCACACTCTCCACCCTGTTCTCCATACATATCTTGTGTTACTGATTAGGAGAATTTATTTAATAATCAAGATCTTTTTTACCGGCTTATCAATTCCATTCTTTAAAACTTTTATGTATAATTTTATAAAATGTTAGCTACACTTGAAGGAGTTAACGGTACATGAAAATTAAAATCTATAACATTGCGATACATCAAAGTCATCTGATTTCTATTAATCTGCAGCAGCAATGGTGGGATTCTCTTGTATATAAACAGAAAGTAACCAAAAAAGCCCAGCCAAACTTTTGGGTTATAACTTATAACAAAAAATGAATGGAGGGCTTTTAAGGTTGGAATCTTCCTTTTTTTAAGAGTGACATTTTTTTGTTGTAATCAACTCTTTTTCTAACTTACAGGTCTTGAAAAAACCAAAGAAGGTGACGTTCCACCGAACGACTGTGAAAAAGTTGCTGCCACGGGACCGTTGGCAGGTATTGTAATTGTTTGCTTTGTCAATTAGAACAAAGACAAAATTTATTTTGCAGTAGAGTGCGGCTATTTTCTTTTGTTGAACAAGGGTGCTTTCGATTATTCGGATGCTTTTAGCTTTTCAGTGTTTAGTGTAGCATCTCCGAGTAAACTGACGCAAAATAACTGTTTCCCTCTCCCGCTTACAGGCCAAGCCATTTAAATTCGCTACTAATTTTAAACTTTGCAGGTGTTGAAACAACCCAAGAAGATGACGTCCCACGGAATGGTTTTGAAAAAGATGCTGTAACAGGACCGATAGAAGGTGATGTCATTGTTTCCTTTGCCAATTAAACCAAAGCCAAAATATATTTTTGTGGTAGAGTGAAGTTACTTTGTTCTTTTAAAACCACAGTAGTTTTTTTGAAATTGTCGACTGTCGTAAGCTATAGACCAGTGTACTGTGCTGCACCTGTTTTATGGAACTCGCTGCCATTAACTAAAAGAACAAGTAGGAGCCGCGCCATTTTTAAAAAGCATCTTAAAAGATTTCTTTATAGGAAAGCTTATAATCTACTAGAATGACTCGAAAGTTTAGTGCTTTGAACATTTTAGTTTTAATTTTGTGTAGAATTTTAGACTTTTCAGATTTTCGCGTAGCATAGATTTTTTTTGGTTATTGTTGTTGTTATTATTAGCTTTTTAGGAATTTTTGATCTATAACTTAATGTTAAGCGCTTTTGAATATTTTATGGTTCTATCACTATACAAATTCTTTATCATTATCATTATCATTATCATCATCTCCTATAAAACTGGCGTGAAATAACCTCTATCTTATTTTGTCTTTTTCATCTTCCTCTTTTAGGTGAACTCATTTTCCGTACGCTTCAACAAATTCTGCTGGAAGCACGCACAGAGTCCAGCAAAACTGAGCTTTCGCAAGCTTTAAAGAGGACTGCGTTGGAAAAAGGGTTTGCGATATCTGACAATCAAGGAGGGGGGAACTGCATGTTTTTTGCTCTTTCAGAGCAGCTTGACCTTATCAAAGGAATTCAAATGTCCCATGATGAGTTACGCCGAACTATTGTTCAACACCTTCGGGAAAACCCCAGGCTGGTAAGTGTCTTATTACCTTATTAGGGTGCACACACTTGCAGTATACGCGTATAGCCGTGGCATTTGCCCGCTACATTGTTTTAATTCCTCTTAAAGTTAAAAACAATAAGGCCCTGTCCACACGTGTCCGAAATACGCTTCCACACGAAGCGTATTTGAATCTTTTTCTCCCATCCACATAAAAACGCTAAAATGATTGAAATAGGAATAGCATCCATTTACAGAGCATGCGCAATGTTGTATTCTAAGTCCTCTGTATTCGTCCATCCGCACGTCCTTTTCTAAAATCTCCACTCTTGGGAACATTTGTGAAAACCTGCTTCTTCGGCGCCCGAAAATGCCGATCACGTGTGGACGGAAGGCTAAAATGGACAAATAAATATCCGATTTCAAAAAATATATATCTGGATACGTGTGGAGGGGGCCCAAATTCCTGCGATTGAATGTGATGGCTTTACGGGTTTGCTGCAAATAAATCCACCCTTTATGAGCAAAACATGAGCTCTGCATGAGCATCACGCTTGTTTGTACGTTGCTTCGTCGTTCACTGGACGACTGCGACGCAAAACGTCCGTATGCGACGTTTTGTGGAGGGCACCGAACCCCCTACAGTGAATTATTGTTTTCGGGCTTCGATACAGTAATTAAGAACTCAAATCTAAGACAATTCGTCGACTTATGTTAAATTAAGCATTATGATAAAGTTTGAGAGAACACTCATTCTTTTCCCAAGTTACTTTCGAGTCGGAGGCATAAATGGATACGGAGAAATTTTTTTACCTGTTTTTGTCGGCCCGATCGTCATGCTCATGTCCTAATTTATTTTTTAACTGTACGGTATATTGCTGAACTTGAAATGTCGACCAACACCAGTTTTGTGTGAACAGGATATGACTACATACTGGTTTAAAAGTCAGAATTTCCAAACTCACATTATTTTAACAGTAAACATCCCTTCCCTCCTCTCTCTCTCTCTCTCTCTCTCTCTCTCTCTCTCTCTCTCTAGAAGAAAAGTAGGGCACTTTTGTAACACTTTTCACTAATAAAGATAGCTTCAACAATTCTGTTTGCTGCAAATTCTTTCAAGGTCAGAAACGTACTTTAACACGTGTTCCCAATGAATGTTAGTGGTCACCAAATTCTAATTTAATATTTATGAGCTACGCCCCCATATATACCCAGGAGGTTACAAATGCGCCCTATGTTGTGGTAGCAGCCAATTTAAAGACTAAAAACCCCATTTCTTGGTCAAAATGGAGCTATTACTTTACCATTTATACGTCACATGATTCTCTTGATTACCACATTACTTGAAATTTGAGTTATAAAAGCTAGAAAAAATCTGCCGCGTAAGTATATGACTCTTCATGTCGATGACAAGAATCAAAGATCGGAAAAAGGCCATTTTTTGTTTTGCAAGTTTGAAGAATCAATTTCATCAGTTATACTTGACCAAATTAGCTCAAACTGAAGTATGAGGAAGAACAATCATTAGGCAATATACCAAGGCAGAAAGTAAGGAGAAAATACGCTCTTTCATTTTTTAATAAATTTTTTAAGTTATCAATGTGCGAAAAACGGCAACGTTACAAAAGTTCCCTATTTGCTAGATGTTCCGACGCTGTTAATGGGATATTTTTTTTGAGAGATAATAAACAATATTGTTGTCAAATTAAAGGCTATTAAGACAGCAACAAGTGACGTAAAACACTCGTCCATTCCTTTTAAGGGAAGGGAGTTACAGCTACGGAAAATGTTTGAAACACAAACCCAAGATAACCTTATGAACTGATGAACTAGTTTGTCTTACTGCGGGGGTATTTAACAGATATAAATTCATCAGTTGTATCCTTAACAACATGAAGAAATTCGCTCTTACCTTATGGATCACAACACAGCTATTTTTTCGAAGATTGTGCGTAACAATCACTCACAGCAATTAATCGCTGGATAACACATTGAAGCACAATGTTAGTGCGGAACAACTAAACATTCCTTTCTCTGAAACAGTGCTTTGAGTTGTCTTTATAGACCATTGATCAACAAAAAGACGTTCACGCCGATTTCCTCTTCTAGCTACAACCAAGAAACATGCCACATTTAATAACCGAATCAACGACGCTTTTTTAACGGATTTGAATAAAATAACACTTTTTTGAAAACTGCCTTGAGTTTTGTCTAAAATGTTTGTCGCGCGGTAGCGTAAAGCAGTCTAGAGCTGGATAACTCAGTCATTTTCCCCCAGAAGCTCCCTGAAACGTAAAAGAGACAGGTATGTTTGTTCAGTATTCTAAGGTTCAAGATAGTGTATTTGGCAAGTTGTGAAAGGATCCGGCGATCATTGAGCTGCGAAGGGACCTCCCGATGACATCCACTTTTTTCGTTGGTAATGCTTTCCCTTCTACATATTTCTATACTCTCTGACATCGCGCGCCCAAAATAGTCATAACAAGACTGTCCTAGCTTTGGACGTTACAGCGGAATACCCTGCCACTTCAACAATACTCTCCCCAGCCGGCTAGGTGGTACGCAGAAACTAATTTAATGAAGAACAAATTCAAAATGGCATCCTGTATTATTACTGGCTAAGAGTAATATTCGTCGTTCTTTAAACCCTGGAGGGAAACAAGAGCTCCACGTGTGTAGTACTCCTCGTTCTTTCAGCTCAAAAGCGAAACAAGCGTTCTGTTTGACTTGATGTCTTTTAGAGCATGGATCGGGGGTTAACTAAGATCCTAATCGAAAGGAGCTCCCGATGACATCCACCTTTACTCGTTCTATAGTCGACTGATGTGTTAATAAAGTCGAGTATTCATAGGTGATTTAAAGTTCACGGCACCACCTAATGACCTACTTCACAACTATGTGGTTTTCAATGTGTATAGTTATCTTTGACAACAATTTTTATTAGTAGCTAGGCTTAAAACAATAGATCGCTGGCACTAAACTTTCCCGATCACTTGTCGAAGTTTTGGACCCGCCCAAAAACGCGTGCATTAATGCTTGATTGAACGCTCGCAATTTGTATATTGCGTTATGTAATATGCACTAAATATTAATCTCTTCTGTATTTTTTTAGTTATGTATTTTTAGCAAGGGAACAGAAACACTATTATTTGCTCTGAATGGGATATCAGGTTGGGCATCTCATATCCACTTCTACTGAGAGAGGCTCCGCAGCGGCGGGCCTATGGGTAGGGTGTTGATCAGAAGTCCAAATACTGTTTAACAGACTAATTTTCGTGCAATTAAGTTGACTGACTGAATTCAAGCTATCAAAGAATACTGGCGCATTCCAGGGAAATGCAAAGTCATTTTCAAACCTGCAACCAACTGAAGACTGTTACCACGCCCTACTTGATTCGGACGTTGACGATATTACACTTCGGGCTCTCATACACAAGCTACCTATCAGACTACGTACGTCGCTTTAAAATTATGAAAGGGGTGATATTCCCACGAACAATCACATAACTTGCATTGCTAAAAAACGATCGAGTTCAAAATTCTTGGTTATCTGCAAGTCTGGGTAGATTGTGCTATTAAATAGCAACAAACTAGCTACAAAATATATGCCTACAAAAAACGGTGATTGGAACAAAAGAAATATGATTCTGCCGAGTCTGAAACATTTCTTATAAAATTAAGTGTTTTCAGAGGAAAACCACAAAGTTGCGTCTTTTTTAAGCAACAAAAAACTGCCAAGCGCAATCTGAATAGGACTGGTTAGTGAGCCATTCAGGATCTGCGGCGGATAACACCTTTCAAAGGCTTCTGCACCCATTAGTGTTGTAAAATTATTTTCTGCCAATAATTTGCTGTTTTATCCTGTTAAGCCGTAAAGTTAATGTTAATCATATCTAAATCAGTGATGACAGAGTCCTTTTCAAAACTGTTACTAATTAAAACAACCTGTGGTAGTATTGTACTGTACCTATGAACAGCGCCATGAACCACCGTCAACAATTAAATTAGCCTGTGTACATCCGCCCCCTCCCCTGCAATTTTTTCTGAGGGGTGGGGGCGGCTGTACTCAGGCTGAACAATTATTTGCTGAGGTTTTTGTGATATGCAGAATAATAATGGCCGAGGTAAGTGTTATAGGCCAAGCCGAAGGTCGAGGCTATAACATTTACCTTGTTCGTCGTTGTTGTTGCAGCCAACCCCGTTAACAGGGACACTGAAGGGACCACAGAAAGTGTACCTATAAACGAGGAGTCCTTATTAAGCGGCTCATGTTATTAAAGTCAAAAAACCTCTTTTTACTAGAAAAAAAATACCAAAGAAATATAAGAGGACATAAGCTTCGTCAAATTAAACTTCTCTTACCTTCAAAGCCTTCAAAGCCGTCATAACGCGGCTCAAGTCCACAGAAACACTTAAAAATCGCTCGTTTATATATTACTCTATCAAAACCCTTCTCTGCATAATTCGTTTGATGCCTACAATCGGTGACGTCAAAAACCATCCTATCTGGTGTATTGTAGCGCTGGGAACATCGACATGCTGTCATGATCAACTGAAGAACTTTTTACCTTCAAAAAGGAGAGGTCTATTACTGCACACAGTTGATATTGAAGTATTCACATTAGCGAGTTTGGCTCTCTATGAGAATACGTTGATTAGGCAGGAAATAAGTGTCTGTTGTCCGCATTAACGGGTGTCGGTATTAAAAGGATTGAATTTAGAGAAAATGTAACGGCTTTCTTTCCCTGGGACAAAGAAAACTGTACTCCGTAATACAAGGTGTCCGTATCAAGTGGGTGTCCGTAAAGCGGGTTTCGGACCGTATTTGCGGGGAGCAAAAATAGTATTTGGTGACGTCCCATCAAGGTGTTTTGTCTACGGAGATTGTTGGCTGTTTTTAAGCTCTTTCTTCACTTTCGTTAAAGTGGCCGCATTTTAACCCCGTAATAGCGACTCGACATTTAGACAAAACATTTTTGGCTGTGGGACTAAAGAAAATCACTTTTTGTAGCCGCGGGGTCAAAGGAGTACCTGAAAATGTAAGATAGTTTATGTATTTTGCGTTGCGTTTGAAAAAAAAATGTTCACAGACTTCTTTACTTTAAGCATGGCGCATTTTATAGAATATGGACAACCGATAACACCAGCTCGTTTCTCATATCTAGTCAGCATCATGTTGTCCCTTATTCATTTTCATTAATATTAACATCAGTGACTTTGTAATGGCTCATGTTATTTTTAGATAAAGGATTGTGTTATATTCTTCCAGGTATATCAACAACGGTAACTAAATTGAATTTTCTTCTTATGAGTTTTCCTGTGAAAAAGGACTTTGTTAAATTATTCCTGTCCTTAAAATACAACTAAATAAAGATCACACAGTAAACAAGTCCTATACCCCTACCCTGGGGGTACTCACTAAAATGGCCAAAACGAGGAAGCTGACCGCCCGAAAGGGCTACCTTTTCTAGGCTTCAGGTATATGAAAGGGTAGTTATTTTACTAGTTGAAGTATGTAAAAGGGCAGGGAAATCTTTGATTACTACAATCGCTGAACGTTTTTCTTTAAAAAAAATCGTTAGTTACAAAAGTGCCAGATTGTTACAAAAGTGCCCCACTCGTTACAAAAGTTCCCTATAACGTTACAAAAGTTCCCTGTTGTCGTTACAAAAGTGCCCTAGTGACGTTACAAAAGTGCCCTTGGTTACAAAAGTTCCCTACCTTGGTTACAAAAGGTCCCTATCCCGTTACAAAAGTGCCCTTTTTTCGTTACAAAAGTGCCCGTTCTTATGGCTCTCTCTCTCTCTCTCTCTCTCTCTCTCTTACACGTGTAACGGACACCTCCCTAAAACCTACTCCACCTCCCTAAAAGTGTTGGTCCCTGCCGTTCTTAACTGTTGTTTTTTGACATTTTTAAGGAGTGTAGTGTAGGTCACACAGGTTAGACCCCTTTTTGTAGTCGAATCTTATTACTGTGATGACATGACATCTTTATCTCAGGAATAAAATGCGGTGGAATCTCTTCAAGATAACGTCACGAGCTATTTTTATGTAGTATTTAGTATATCCAATTATTCTTATATTGATGATGTAACTTGTTGGGATCTTGTCCTTATTTTGTGAGAATGATGCCGTAGATCATTCTAAATTATGTGCGTCATGTTTTTATTTGGTCATGAAGACACCTCTGAGCCATGACGCCTTCATTGTCCATTGCAGACAACTTGATCTGTCTTCACACTATACCGTATAGTTTTTTCGCGGGCACGAGAATCATACTGGATGGGGTTTCAGTTCACACATAAGAACGGTGATTTCGGCGCGATTTCTGTTAAACGGAGAGAAGCTGTGCCGCGCCGATCTTTTAAGTGGAGAGTCACATATCGGATAGATGTTCACACTTTACTGGATGGCTTTTCGTGTCGTCACCAAAGCTTATCTGGTGTAGTATGATCATAGCTTTATTGTTCTGGTTCCGGTTCACTGATTCTTGGCGCGCAAAGGAGATAAAGACGTCATCGACGTTACAGCTGATTTCATTCCTATGTATACACCCGGATTTTCAGACATGATTCGACGGTCATGATTCGACCTGTCATGATTCGACACTAATCACGTGACGTATCGCTTCGCAGTACGTAAACGGTTGCAGTTCTTCCGTGGGATCCGAAACAGTGAGAGAAAAATCTGGCCGGCAAGGAAAACTTAGCACTAAAGGACATAAGTGTAACGAAGCTAGAATCCCGACAAATGCGTTTTACCTGGAGAGGAAAGCTTTGTTGCCTGGAAAGCAGCGACATGATACAGAAATTATGATAACATGTTATCAGGTGATAAACCTGGAGTTCGATTGCCGAATTCGAATGTGTCTCTGTAGGAGATTTCATAATGGACGAAATATTATCAATACGGCGAAAAGCGAAATAGTCCGATGGTTTATCGTTTAGTCTTTTTCCGTTTGACAAGGTTTCGGTAGTTTGCCGTTGGTGAATACCACCCGCAATTTACATGTAACAGTGATGCAAATTTAGTTAACAGGGAGGCAAATTTGTATTTCTTCAAGTTGGTACTTTTTCGTCCTTACTTAGCTTCTGCAGGGTTAAAAAATACAGAAGAAATGCAGAAAGAAATCAACAGATAAATTGATCAGTCTGCCGATGTGAAATAATTTGCTGGAGAGTTTGAAAGTTTTGTTTTGTTGACCATTGACAAATATCAGAATGTTCGATCCTCGACCTATGACCCTAGTGAGCACAAGTAAAGAAAACCAAACATAAAAGAAAGCAACACCTGTTTTTATTGAAAAAGGGTAAAATATGATATTTCTTTAAGATCAAGGTAGAAGCCCAAAGAAAGTTGAGAAAAGAGCCGAAAAACTTATTGATCGAGACGTCCACACGCCCGATTACATGTATTGCGATTAGATTGCGTGACTTGTATGAGAGGCTGTTGTCTGAAAAGGAGAACAAATCATGGATCACAGTCCGCTTTTTCTGAATTACAAGAGAAACATTCTAGCTATTATTAAAGTAAGTTTCAGATTGTGTGCTTTGATTCCTGTAGGATATTCAAGGTAAAATACTGTACTGCTTGGTAACCTCTCGGTCGAATCATGACGGTCGAATCATGACCGTCGAATCATGTCTAAAAATCAGGGTGTATACACAGCACTGAAATCAGCTGTAATATATTCCACTTTAAAAAAGACGTCTACCTGGTCCGTCCTATACTACTAAGGTGAACAATTCTCTGTTTTAATACTTTACTCCTAAAACAGTGTACACCATACTAGTGCTGATACCAGCGGGGTCGGCCTCAGAGAGAACAGACTTCGTGGCTGTCTAAATAAATACCTTCTACAAAAGTACTCTACATTTTCTCTATTAACTACAGTATTTTCTTTCTTTCTTACAGCCGGATGGGACAGAACTGTTTCATTTTGTTGATGGATATAAATCTTGGGATGCTTACCTCACAAGTATGATGGTAGATGGTACATGGGGTGATCACGTGATTCTACAAGGCGCGGCAAACTGTTTTCAAACGTCCATCTACGTGATCAGCAGTCTGCAGCATCGGCATGACGTAATGATCTGCCCAGAGTTTGATGTTACTGGTAGCAACCGGCTTGTGCTGGGTCACGTGTTCGAGCTTCACTATGTTAGCCTTATTCCACATAAAGGAGGTAAAGATGACTGATTATACTGCGATTCAAGAGTTTCTAACTCGCGTTATGAAATGGAAGACATTTCAGTGGAACATTTCACCTTCACTGTGGCACCTCACTTTCAAAGATGTTGGAAGAAATAAGAGGTCCATTTTTTCACATGTACAGTTTTTAATCCGTCAATTTTCTTATGACGGTACAATTAGCCGTTTTAATAGACTAAGTATTCATAACAAAAGATTTTCTGCCTAAAAAGTTCATGCAGCCCCCTCAATTTCTTAGATAAATTACTGTAGTTTTGTTAATAGAACTTGGTTTTTAGGGCCAGCACCTTGCCTGCAGTCCCCTGTAAAAACTCCACCATTTGAACCTGTTGTTGTAAAAATCCTTGGAAAATACGCGTACTAATGATTACCTAGTTTCTCTCTCTTTGAGTCATGCCGCGGATGATGTGACTGTGACTGTAGCGTGTGAACACTCGGTTTTAACGTCTGTCAGTATACAGTTCAAGAATTTTTTTCTAGCAATTTCATTAACATTTAGAGGTTAAGAACAATTTTTGCTCCAGCTGTTCCTTGCCTGCAGTCTTTGAAAATATTCAGTGTCAGGTTCCATACTGAGTAGAATTTGTTCGTATAGGATCAATCCTTTTTAAAGATATTCCTTACCACAGAACTTTGTCAAAGACGTTTCTAATCGAGTTCTTTAAGAATTGTTCCTGTTTCTGGTGCGCTTTTATCAATCTGTAAATATTTTCAGCCTCGAATAACTCTTTCATTGACAAGTTATTAATGTTTAAGACTAATTTCTGAATGACAGCAATCCTTAACTAGCTTGCGAATACAAAAGCCTCTAATTACGCCTCGTCGCTGGGGAACACCAATTCCTTATCATACTGTGTAAGTATTTCAATATAGTAGAAGTAATTTATCAGAGTATTTTTCTTACCATTGTATGTTACAATATTACCAAGGCCACTGCCTCTATTTTGGTACATCAAGTCATATATATAGGTTATAGTAGAAGTAGTTACTTAGTGAGAGTCTTTTTATAATTTGCTATAGTGTATTAACTAATAAATTGAAATGTACTAGTGTTAGGGCGCCGGACCGGTTATTTCGTAATTGAAATAGGCTTTTTAAAGGAGTTTTGGCTAAAATTAATACATATCAACCGATGCATATTATTCACAAATGGACTCATCTCAGGCTGGACATTTTCAGTTAAAAGTGTAGTTCTCATTACCACTGGAGGCGTGTGTGGCTGAGCGGTGAACACCTCGAACTCTGGATCTGGAGGTTCGGGGTTTACGCCTCGCCCGTCGCGTTGTTTCCTTAGCCAAGGAATTTTACTCCACTTTGTCTCTCTTCGCCCAGATGTATAATGGGTACCGGCGACATACTGCTGGGGGGTCATCATCATCATCATCATCATCATCTTTATTTAATCACGGAATCTCATTGATAAAAATGCTCTTCCAGAGAGCCGTGCAAAAATCATGCAATAAAATAACATTAGATAAGTATAGTTATTAAAATGGTTCTAAAATTACAAATGCGAGAGAAATAATTTCAAGCTTGTGTGTCCTTTAACAGTGTTTTATAGACTATTCGAGAGAACCGCCCTTCTATAGTGGAAGCTGTTTTTTTTTTCAGCCTCAGTATACAGTCTTGGTACAAACAAATTATGTTTTGAGTTCCTTAGATTATAGGAGTACATAGAGTTTGTACTATTAAAATTTGAGCCAAATGATCTGGTGCAATGTGATTTTTCAATTTATACATTATTGTGGCTAATTGCCTTGTCCTTCGTGTCTCAAGATTATCCCACCAAAGTTCATCCAGTATCTCAACTGATCGCCTATCGTAACTAGACGAAGTTACCACTCTGGCAGCTCTGTTTTGGAGGGTCTGGAGTCTGTTACGCATCCCTTCCCCACAGCTCCCCCACACTATACTACAATAATCGAAATACGATAGTACAATGGATTTGAACATCGTAATTAGTGTATGATAAGGTATGAGATGCCTTACGTGTCTCAGAACTCCAATCTCTCCAGAAGCTTTCTTAGCAATTTTTTCTACATGATCTCTCCAAGTTAATGATTGATCTATTTCAACACCATGATATTTATAACCCTGCGATGGACTAGGATCCCGTCCAGGGGGGAGTAGCAATACCTCTAGGCTTGCTTCATGCCAAGCAAACCGGTATAACCTCCGGCCGTGTGGGCCTTTGGCTCGTGTGCTCCTTTACCTTACCTTTTCCTCACTACCACGGGAGCGGTCTGGCTGCCGGTCAATTCTGACAAATGAACAGTGCGCTTTACCCCTTAGTTGAAAACACTATTAATAATACTTTGTGCTACAGACATCTTTATCTCATGCATGCTCCAGTTTCCTAGTGATTTTTGCTAAAATAAAGTTGAATAAAGTACTCTATTCTATTAATTAAGAAGCAAATTAGAAAAACTGTAATCAGTTTGAAACTTTATAACGTGAAAAGATTGACCACTGTAAATATACTAATTTGACATTTTTGTAAATAAAGATCTCTGTTTCAATTTAATTTATACATTAAATAAGTGTCTAAACAAGTCTAGTTAATCCCTCAATTAGCCAATGAATGGAGGTCCCAGTCACGAATAAGGACCCTACTTCCCTTCATATCACGAATCATGTATCTAACATCCATTATTGCAGAACATTATCTCCAGGATTACGATCAGTTAGTGTCAGCTCTCGTCCGGTTTCAGTTCATGTTTTTTCTGAGCGTTGACAAGATTGCGGGTAAAGCTTTAAAACAATCTTAGAAACGCATCAGCCCAGCCTGAGAAAATGCGTTCAAGATCATTCTTTGGCATGTTACAACGTGGGTCACTATATGAATAGATATATTAGCAGCTAAATTCGATTCGGTTTTTTTCACGAATACCACGAATCAGGGACCTCAAAATTAAGTGATAGTGCGTCATGCTAGATCGGAAATTCACGGATCACAGCATTTCGAGTTCTCTATATGAAAGTCAAACGGACTTAGAGAAACAGGACAAGATCGCAAAACCAGCCCAGATCGCTTCAAAAACAACAACAAAAAAGCCAAACAAACAAACACACTAGGACACAAACTATAGCACAAGTAAGTAAGTATCGGTAAGTAAGTGAGTAAGTAAGTGTCGAATCGGGTGGATGTAATAGTAAATAGAGCAAAACCGGGTGGGCCTACTAAAGCGTACAGTTGGTAGCAAGAACAGAGAAATTTTCTCTGTGCTCTGTGAGTCCTTGGTAATATCGGTCCTATTCGGCGGGCAAGGCGAAACGAAAAGAGACTTCGTAAGAGAAAATGTATGAGAACTGCAAAAATTGGGCCTGATCTCAGGTTATAATCAGCCTTGCTTCTTTCGCTCCACTTTTTTTTGATAGTCTCACAGTCAGAGCAGGGGACACTCTCCTGTCACGAGTCTATCTTAAGTATGTCGGCGTTATGCTCGATCCATACCTCTCGTGGAATGACCACATAGACTACATCGGGCGCAAAATATCCGCAAAGCTCGGCATGCTTCGTAAAGCGCGCAAGGTCATTCCGCGTGAGTCGTGAATCGTATTTAACACTTAATAACGCCATGAAACTTCCAGTATTCTAGCCTGCGAACCGCAGACGTATTTCTGGTCGTCGCCTCTCTCCCTCCGAAAAATTTTTCGGAGGGAGAGAAGCGACGACTGGAAATACGTCTGCTGTTCGCAGGCTACCAGCATTCGACTGTTGCGCTGTTGTATGGTACTCCTGCAGTAAGGCTGACCGAGAGCACTTGGATAAGCCACATAGGCGTGCCGTCAGAATTATCGAAGGCTACACAGTTTGACAATCGCAGATATCCCACACTTTCGGTTGTCCTACGCTCCAGTCCCGCCGGGACTATCTAAAGTGCATGCTGGTCTTTAAGAGCCTTCATGGCCTGGCTCCAGCATATTTACTTAGTTTAGCCACTAGCGTGATTTCCATTCTTATAACACGCGCTATAGAGATTTGCTCCGTCTGCCACTAGCTAGATCTGCAACTCTTCCGCTGGCCCTGAGGAGCCATTATAATCTAAAGAAGTCTAGGTTTGGCCTCAAAAGGCACCTTAGATCCAAGCCAAATTGAGCCTTCAATACTTTTCCTATACTTTATAGTTCTTCCATTTTTTATCTGTTAGTGTTACTGTCTTTTGTATTTTTTTTCTTTTCATCAGGACCCAATTCAAACCAGCCTCACTGAACTGGGCACCCCTGAATAAATATTGTTCAAAATAAAATAAAAACCATCACTTCCGGCTTCGCGCTTTAAACAATCACCTGAAGAATCTAGGCCCTGGGAACGAGGGGATCAGGAATGAACTGGAAGTTAGCGAAGATTTCATTGCATTCCGTGAAAGAAGCAAAAATAGAGCAATCAACATATTAAGACGAAATTCATCAAACCGTTTCTTCCTCAGATCAGCAGCCTTAGGTAAGAGTTGTATATTACATATAGAATGCTTCATAGAAAGTGCCTAGTTATGGTATTTCATACGACCGAGTTGCTTGATTGAAGTATGGAAAATCTCACTTCCTGTGTGCTCCCGTTATATACAGTACTCATTCCATGGTTATTTGAGTTTGAACTCGAACTTGAAAGTTGTTAAGGTATGTAATTCGACCAAGTTGTTGAGGTATGAGAAAGCTCACTCCCTGCGCTTACTCGTGTCTGCAGCTCGTGTTTAGTACTCGTTCCATGGTTATTAACTTTAGAATATTTTCCCGGCCACTTATTTTCACCTCTTTGAATGACAAGCATGCTCTTTGTTATTCCTCGTTCAGCTTTAAAGCGGAAATGAAGTAGCCAAATGTACGTAAGGGTGCATTCGATTGACTTTATCTGGAATAGGAATGCATAGAATAACCGTTCAAACTGATGACCTGTTATTTCAATTGCGGAAGTGGAAGTATATCAGCCGAGACCTTAAGATATGCCTTTTCCTAATGTATGGGTATGGATAGATTACCTGGCCTAT